GCTCTCGGGCTATCCAAATTAATCTCACCTTTCGATTAAACCATAAGAGCTTCCGTTAAGTGGTACCATTTCGTCACCTTCCCGCCCCGTTTTGGAGCAACTACCGGACTCCATCGCATGAGTATTGCATTTAACCTGTCGGAAACTGCCGAGGTCTGAAGCTTCCTTGGCGTTCAAGCATTTTGGCGAACAGGCTTCAAGGGCATAAATGCTGAAAAGTTCTGTTGGCCCCATATAGTAGGTAACTCGCGAATTCGCCCGAGCGCATGCACGTCTCCCAACGTCTCATTTATGCAAGCTTGATATCAGAGTCCAAATCACTGACAGAGAAGAATCGGGGAAGGCTTTGGCCAACAAGAGGCCTGTTTGATGTCGGAGGGAGAACTTAACGTCAGAAAACGTGGTACTTTGGGCAAACGTAAGACTTTGAGAGAACTCTTGGGTCGACGTTTGGATATTTAGGGTTCGGATTGAATTGAGTTTTTCATGCAGATGCGCACTCGCACTTTGACACTGACAGGTCTGGTGTCCAATAGGACCAAAGCCAAAGCTTAAATGAGAGATGATCCTTTGAATGATATGCACTCTTACCGAGATAGTCTTGCCCACAACGTCAGATGACATTTACACACGATCTCTGTAGGGGAGAAAGTAAGGAGCAAAGGGCGAAGCACTCGGCGTCGCTGTATATTCATTAGAGTCGCCTGTCAGCATAGACAATTGCATTTGAAATGTTCGTATTGAAAAGTGCTGAGAGAGCGCTGCTCTCGGGATATCAACTACAAAGTCCTCGAAAAACAAAGACAACGTAGACCATCCAAAATCTGTTGTTGCTGGTATCGTATGTATTTGTGGAAGAGCAAGACCCCGGCTCGCTCTTGTCGCGTAAGTTTTGAAACCCCCATCCCAAATCCCAGTAAATCAAAGTACGCACCGTGAACGAAAAGAAAAACATGGAAATCGTTCTCAAGAGACCTGTCCGTGCGGATCGCATTGGTCCACTTCTTCCTCTTGATCCGGGCTTTCAGTCCTGTTTGCACCAGGTTTGACCTTTCGATATTTCCATTTACTGATTGCCCGCTTCGGACTCATCGCCTTCTTGAACTTCGTCCAAGTTCCCTCTCGCTTCGGTCCCGGAGGCAGCTCGTACTCCCCGTCTTCGAACGGGTTCTCGTCCCGGAAGGGATCTCCTTCGGGAGACTCATTCAGTTGTCTGAAATCCTCGCTGAAGGGGTTGCTGTCGGAATACGAGTAGTCATCATCGTCAAAAGGGCTCGCCGTGCGTCGGCGGAAGGTGGGGCTGCGAAGGGACGGCGTTGCCGACCGTGGGAGCCAGGAAAATCTGCGTTGGGCATCGGGGACGGGAGGTGTGGGTTCTGGTATGATTGTCGTAGTCATCGCGGTGTTGATGGTGTGTCTCCTGGTGTTGGGCGGCTAAGACGGCGAAAGAGTCAGCTTGAGCGCGCAGGAAATGGGTCAGACATTGCTCACAGTCGCGCACATCTGTGCCTCTGAAAAGGCAGTGCTTTTCTCGTCGATATCCATGGCTGTTCCTCTCGTCTTTTCGTCCGGGTCGCAGAGGTAACCGTCCAGCATTTCAGCCTTTCGCAGAGAGGAAGCTTCGGTGTTGCGCTCGGCGACGCGATTTCACAATCAAAGTGACCGTTTCCGTTCTTTTCTCAGTGCACCTGGCACGTTTGGATCGTTTTTCGCCTCTTATGTCACAATCGCTCGGCCTTGGTGGAACGAAAGCTGGGGGCGGGGGATCCGGGGCGCGAGCGGGTACGGCCAGCCACATATATGTATGCCCGACAAGACGGTTGTTTCACGGATTGACGAGTCATTGATCTCATGTAGGCCTGGCTTCCTGGTTTGTTTGGCATTTTCATTCGATGTCAGGTGCTTTAAACAGCATATTTGATGGGTCTGCATCGCCATTCCTTCCAAGGGATAGAGAGAGGGGTAAAGCCTGGCCCAACCGCTCGTTTCCCCTCACTTCAGACATGAGACGCAAAAAAGGGCGGTTGATGCACATTGGAACGGGACTGGGCCTTCTCGATCGTGGATCCGTCGTCTCTCGTTCCATGCACTGCACGTGTGATTGGTGGGAGATGGTTCTCGAAGGGTTCGACATCGTAGGAAAATCCATGTTGAAGGCGGTGTTGGCAACGGACGGTGTGCGCGGAAGAGATCCATTTCAGCCGTTGCATCCGGGATGGCCCCCATCGGGACCGGAGGCGATCAGTCAGTCCAAGCGGGGCCGCCCACCCCGACACACATGGGGAACCCGTCCAGAAAGCTTGTGGTGGCGGGCATCTGTCGATCCGTATGCGCTGGCAGATGTGGCTCCCGCGTTCGCATACGTCTTTGCAACTGGGGGAACTGGGGCCATCGTGGCATATGATACTGCTTCTTCCAGTCTCTTTTTTCGAATCTTGTCCCAGGCCCCGTGTTCGCATGAACAACTCTAAACCGGCTCTGCATGTTATCGAAGATGCACAGCCACGTTTTGACCGAAACTCCAGCTCGGATTCCGTCCCTCCATTACGAAACTGACGTCTCCGGAGGATTCGAGTATCCAGAAGAGGAAACATGCCTCGACATAAGCATCATGCAAGGCGGGTATGTTTGCGATAAGGTCGATCGATCATGCATAGAGCGGTAAGACAGGCGTGTCCACCTGCATCTGCCCTATGACTCTAGATGGCAAATCAACTGTCGAATTATGTAGCAACCCCGGCTCTTCCGATCTTGCAGCGCTGTCTGTGCGCTGACTTATCCCACTTCAAGAAGCGGTGGCGAGTGATCACGGGCCTGTTTTTGTACGTGCGGATTCACCACTCAACAACAAACTAGTGGATTTTAGCATGTCGCTTGACTGATCGCTTGCTTTTGGGCATCCGTTATGCCCATCTCACAGTCCACTGACCGAGCAACAGCAGGGACATGCAAAAAATTCGACGACGCTCCCCGGTCGTTCCGGAAATTAGCGGCGATCATGGGTCAGCCTCATCCAGGACCCCTTTTTTTGTTAAAAGAAAAAAGGCTGCCGAACCCTGGAACCCACCATCATCGAAGCCCTCCTTTCTGTCTTTAGTGATATTCTTCCACACCAACTATCCGATTTCAGAAAGCATGGTTTGCTGAACGACGCGTCCTGGTTCGACGATATCGAAACATCTTCTTTTTCTTGACTTTTCGAACAAGATCTGGGCCGGGGCCTGAAACTTTGGACCAACAGACAACATGCGATTTTGGAAACAGACAGTGGAGGAGAGTTCGGAGCAGAAGGCATCGCAGGGGAATGCTGTCGAGGAAAGTGGAGGACGCGCGAGCGACGTCGAGACCGCCATACAGAATCGGCCAAATAGCCACCACGAGAAACAGCCCACCTTGAGATTCACGGCTCATCAGGCGTTCTACATTTTTGGGCTTGACGGTGTCGGCGCCGCTATTTTCTCTGGGGGCATAAACTTTGGCATAGCCTATGGTGAGTTCATGTTCAGCCCACAATCCCCGACCTGCTCGGATTTCCACCAGCAGAAGTGATGGACAACTTGAATAGCCAGCTAACGATCGACTTGCAGGCATGTACTCATTCCAAAACTTGGCAACACACCCTATCCGCCTGTTCCAGCTGCCCAACACCCTCGCTGGAGATGCAGTGGTCACCATCCTCGTCCAAACTATGATTACGTGGTTCATCGAGCTTATTCTTGTCGAGCACGATTTGAAGAACGGCGCCATCCGTCCCATTGGCTTTTACAGGGAGCCTGTTCGTCCTCTTTGGCGATGGCTCATGCTTTTGGCTCCGATCGAAGATGGTGGGCAAGTTGTTCCGGCACGCTCCAAGAAGTGGCCCGCGTTCCTGGTCGATCAGTTCATTCGCATCGGCCTGATCTTTGTCGTGTCATTTTTCTTGCTGTGGGCGCCTTCCGTTGGCATCTTGGCCGCCATTGGCAAGCGAGGAACAGGCAGTGACTGGGACTGGTATTTCCAAAGGCAATGGGCTCCGCAAATTTTCAAGGGCGTCCTCGGAGGTCTGCTCGCTCTTTTGACGACGCCCGTGATGGCGTCCTTCTGGCTGGTCAGAGAAGGATGGCGACTCAGAAGAGGGGAGCCGATTATGGAGTGATTCATGGGTAATCCCAGGCGAGCCCAACAGCAACGGAAATAGTCTTTTGGCTTCAACAGGCATGAGCTGTCACCACATCCGTACCCCGCAACACCACACCGCCGGTTCTGGATGATTTACCCGGCATGGATACCGATGAAGACACCGATAGATGTGAGGGATGCTGTTTGCCATGGGGGGGGGGGGGGGGGGGGGGGGGGGTGCGGGATAGATGCGCCGGGTTCGGATTTCACACCGCGTGTGCGGGGCTCCAGAGGCCTCCTTTTTTGGTGGAATCTACGCAGGTTATGAGCGACTCAACGACATGGTTTCGCCGGCACGGTCCGGTCAATGAGTGGACGACACGATGGATTATGCGCAATTCGAATTGAGAACGATATACCCGCGATGCTTATACGTCATTCGGCTACATGAAAACAGACTCAAAAAGGCTGTGCTTTTGTTATCACATGTGTTGCATTATGTCAAAAAGCCGATTTTAATATTTAGTACGCTAATATTGTCTGTTTTAACATTTGCGAAATGAAGCATTCTTATCCAAAGCGCATGAAATTATCTGGATTTGACTGTTGAGCGTTGGAAAACTTGATTACCATATGGTTTGGTCGGGCTGAGGGATAGTGATTATGAGACCAGCAAAGAACAAGAGGACGTTTTCTACCTATGGATGTTTACTACTCTCTCTGACTGAGAAAAAGCTTCCTTACAGTAGTTCTATACGCGAGAACTTCTGAAGTTGTAAGCAGCACACATGGGTGACTCTTCAGTAACATGTGCCCGTAGATAGAGCGATGCTTCAATTGTTCTTAGGTCACTTGAGGATCTGAATGGCTTCCTGTTCCTGAAATCATATTGATCTCTGTTACTATAATAATACTATTGGCACATCAAAGTGCCGCCTCGCAGCATTTGGGATGCAGCGTGAGGTGTTACATGCGCATTGAATTGCACTTGGAGACTGTTCTTCCCTGCATTCGTGATCGCATGGCACATCCTCTTTCCATCTCTGGGACAAGAACTCAGCGCTTCTGCTCACAATGTCGGACCTCCACGAAGTCTCATGCATTTTTCTCAATCTCCCTCCAATGTCTCGACGGTGAACCGCCATCACTGAGCAAAGGCCAATGACAACCAGTGGCCAGCACAATATATTGTTTGCCGGAGAGTCGGATGGGAGACGGCTGAGCTCGACAACAAACCGCCTTACGAGGAGCTGTATTTCTAACGAGCGATGGCTGAGTGTTGGCGTAAGAAGCAGCTTGATATACGCAAGACAGGCGAGCCGGTACAACTCGGAAGTTGTGTCTTCGTGTGTTTTTGCGGCACCGGGTTCTACATCGGTTGATAGGCTTAGAAGTTGGCTTTCGAAGTTTCGAAGCTCGACAGACACAAGGTAAGGCACTGTCGAAACTAAGGAGGTGTTTTTGATAAGAACAGCAACTTTCAGAATGGTTGAGAAGATTTCGCGGCATCGATGTACTAGCAAGGTTCCGTGAAACCCCTTGCCCCAAACAGTAGGAGAGTTGAAAATATGAGATGCCAAGTCAAGTTTAAGCTCTCGACCGTGAGAGAATGATATCAAGGCAGCAAAGTAGCAGAATATCTCAATAGTGATTGCTCGCAAAGGAGAATCTGTCTTCGCGTCTCGACAACTGCCATAACACAGAGCTGCCACTGCATTGACATGGGGTATGAGCCTATCACTATGAGTGTAGTTGACAGCCTACGCATGGTTAGTAATTCTAGTTGCGAGTTTACTATCCGGAAGCTGAGTCTCACCTCATGAACACAGAGGAGGATGATTGCAAGTACTATGTCGTCTCCCGGACAGGCTTCATGACCATCGCTGAGATGCGATGGAACGGCAGAATTTTCAGATCGATCATTCTGCTTATTCAGAGCTGCGTGGATTCCAGCCACAGCCTGACCGTAGAAGCCATGCGTAAGGCCGAGCAAGTTAGAACTCGCCGGCTCATACTTGCACATGTCGCCCGCAGCCAAAGCCAGGATGCAATTGAGAACGACAGGATTCCGAATCGCAACCGGGATGATGAGTCCCAAATACTCTTCGCTTTTTTCGCCACCGCTCGCCGAGAGCCAACGGGGACTCTTTGCGCGGAAATGTGACATAAGTCGATCCTGTACAGATGCCGGCGGGAGCGCGAACACGGTGATCAGGGAGCGCATCTCTGACTGGACCGTAAAGTCTTTGTTGAATGCATGGCGGCGGCGAGCGATCTGCTGGCTACAGCGTTTGGGAGGCTGCCAGTCGCAGGAGAGCCCTCTTTTGATGCATGAGGTACAGCGTGGGTGGGTTTCGTCACATTTTTTCTTGCGTTGGCGGCATTGCTGGCAGCCGGTCTTTGACCGTCGACATGGCGTATCAGATACTCCTGACGGGCTTTCTGAGTTTTGAGCCGATATCTGGTGGTTGTCCATGCTAAATAAGCGGTTGTGCTGGACTTGTGACCCCCACGCCGGAGAAGTTGTGTCTTGCTGATGAGAAACTCGGTGGGCCCTCAGTGACAGCCCGTCTTTGGGAGCCGGGGTCCACAGGGGCGTAGGGGCTGGTCTACTGAGAGACGCCAGAATAGGAAGTCAGAAATTTGGACTTGACTGATTGATGCAGCCAGTAATTGTGGATGTAGCCGAGGTCGGCTGGTACGAAGCAACAAGAACACAAATTTGCGTTGTTTACGGAAACACTCCTCACAGAGGCTTCGGATAAAGCGAAAGGAAAGTTGTCGGGTTGGTCCGGTACGTACCGGCGCATAGTTAAAGCTGAAAAAGGACTAGCTCGAGGGCCACAGTCTCCCCTGCTGCATTTGTAAGTGTTCTGAGAGGTCTTCACATGAAGCTTAAGAACTGAGTCTTTTCCCCAAGCTTCTCTAGTAAAGATTCCTTTCGGTCTTGAATTATTTCCCAGGGCTTTTTGTAGGTTTTTGTTTCCCGACAGACAAATCGATTTCACGATGGTCCCCAATGTCGACGAGGCCGATAACCTTGCCCGCATGGAGCGGGGCGAACTGTACTATGCTTTCACCCCCAATCTTGTCGCAGCCAGGAGACGTTGTGGCGAGGCAGTTGGCCGGTTCAATAGAGCAGGCGATTTGACCAGGCGTGAAATAGCACAGCATTGGAAAGAGTGCGTGGCGAGCATCTTCCTTTTCCTTTACCCATCCTTCCCTTGAGGGCCTTATTGAATAACAACAACTGGGCAGGATTACGAATGACGACACGCCTCTCCCTGCCCCAGGCGCCTCGACTGAGGAAGACGACCAAATATTGCAGAGTTATCCCTGGATTGAGAGGCCCATCAATATCGATTATGGAACAAACATCAAAGTTGGCGTGAACGTCTTCATCAACTTCAACTGCACCATCATCGATACGTGCCTGGTGTCGATTGGGTCCCGAACCATGTTTGGCCCGAATGTCTCCCTCTACAGCGGGACTCACCCACTGGACCCAGACCTACGGGATGGCACGAATGGCCCGGAATATGGAAAGCCTGTCACGATCGGAGATGACTGCTGGCTGGCAGGAAACGTCATCATCCTTCCCGGAGTGACGATCGGCAATGGCTGTGTAGTGGGAGCAGGAAGCGTGGTGACCAAGGTAAGCTCATCATGAGGAGGCAGCGGTTCATGTTGACTAGGACTAACATTTCCAAGGACGTCCCACCTTACCATGTAGTTGCTGGAAACCCTGCTAGAGTTCTGAGAAAAATTGAGAGGAAAGGAAAATAGACTAGATTTAAACTGTTGTCATTATGGCAGTCACCTTGCGCGTCCTGCGGCCCCCCAGATGACGACTAATGCGAAAGCCAGCCAGCACGTTTCCCAAATCGAGTAAAATGTTTTGTCTATCCGTAGCGAGAAACAAAAGTGCGGAAATCCATCCGGATACGCGTCAGAAAAGACCGAACCACGGGGATTACTGTAATTCTTCAAGCCCACAGACACGATAGGTAAAATTGCAGCATTCAGGTATAGCCCGGTTGCTGCACACCAAATGACGAGGGTGACTGGCGTGCCAAGCTGGCGGAAATGCAACTTCGGAAATAAGTCCACATTCAAGACCTAATAAGCGGGGTATGGATTGGTATAATAAGCTGGCTCTGTGCTATCAGTCATGCCTCTGTTGCTGCTTCGGTCTCACAGCTCATCCGCCCGTCTTCCTTCCTCGCAACCCAATTCACTGGCATCCTCTGACACGATGCCTTCAGAAACACAAAGCGTCGAGCTCCAGGACGTCACTCAACACCCAGCAATTACTACAGATGACACTTCCGCTCACTCCTTGCCGCCTGCAGATAAGGGCACGTCTGCCTGGACGTTTCTGTTCGGCTCCTTCATTGTCGAGGCTGTCTTATGGGGAATGCGACCCTTGGTCATTAGAACGGGCCACTTTGCTAACACATCTGCACAGGATTCCCACTGTCATACGGCGTATTCCAGGACTACTACACTAAACACCCAAGTTTCCAGCAAGACTCCAATATCGCCGTGATCGGCACCGTAGCGACGAGTGTCTACTTCCTAGGCGGCCCGATAGCGACACCACTCGTGGCGCGCTTTCAGGCGTGGCAGCGGCACATGATTGTCGTCGGCTGGCTGGGCTGCTGCGTCTCACTGGCTGTGGCATCGTTCATGTCATCAGTGCCCGGCTTAATTGCCACGCAAGGCGTCCTTTATGGCTTCGCGTTTACCCTGCTGTACTACCCCGTCCTACGCATGCTGAATGAGTGGTTCGTCCATCGACGGGGGTTCGCCTTTGGTATAATGTCGACTGGCGCTGGCTGCAGTGGTGTCGGCTTGCCCTTTCTTCTGGAGTGGCTACTGGCGAAGTACGGTTATCAGACGACGCTGCGGGCAATGGCGGTCGTTCAATTCATTACGGTTTTGCCGGTGATACCGCTCCTCAAGGGGCGCTTGCCAGTTTCCAGACAAGGCACGCTTCGCAAAGACGACTTTGGGTTCTTGAAGAAGCCGCTGTTCTACTGCTTCGCGTTCGTCAACCTCCTCGAAGCTCTGGGATACTACATCCCATTCCTTTACTTGCCAACGTACGCAACGTCCTTAGGCCTCTCCGGGACGACGGGCGCGTTGATACTGGCCGCGAACAACCTCGCCATGATATTTGGCCAGCTCGCCCTCGGCTACGTCTCGGATCGGGTCAAGAACGTGCTCACCCTGGTATTCGCATCCTCCTTCTCGGCTGCCGTGGCCAGCTTTACGATCTGGGGCTACGGGTCATCGCTGGCATCTCTTCTAGTCTTTTCGATCATCTTCGGACTGGCGACGGGCGGCTTTCCTTGTTTATGGCAGAGGTTCGGGTCCGTGTTATCTGATGATCCCGGGCCGGTCTACGCGTTGATGGCTTTTGGGAAAGGGCTCGGGAACATCCTCATCGGTCCCATCTCTGCGGCGCTCATGGCGGGCAGAGTGAATAAGAGCGAATATGGGCTTGGCCACTTCCAGCCGTTGATCATCTTTCTTGGGTCGACGATGTTGTGTTCGTCGTTGGGAGCTTTGGTCTGGCCGCTGTGTCGTAGAGGTGATGGCCGTTGATTCCTCGAGGAGCGGTCTGATGATGGGGAGGTTGATTGTGGCATGGAAAATCCATTGTCATGCCTAGCCTGTTAGTAGATAGGATACAATAGACAACCCCAGCTTCATCCCGCATCGGCGTTGTTTGAAGGATGTCAATTGTTGAAATCCAAGTGCACGCTCAACGCCTACTGAAACGAAAAAAGAAAAACGAGCAGCTGGAAAAAAACAAAAAAAGAATAGGTCCTGGAGGGGTTTTAACCCTCTGAGTTGCCTCATGCCTGAATCGAACAGGCGATCTCCTCATTACTAGTGAGGCGCTATACCACTTAGCCAATGAGGCTGCTGGGGCGATTGGACACTTGTTGCTTGCAGACGACCGGCACCAATGGGAATATGATCCATAGGATTGGCGACATGCGCGAGATGAGGGCTTGCTGTCCCACTTTGTTTTTGAAGATGGGGCTAGCGTTTTGATGTAGCGGTCGGGGACGAGTCTTGCTGATATCAGCATGTCCTTTCAGAAATGGGGAATGTCTCTGATGTTAATCATATTAGGCTTGGATAGTTCTCAGCAAGCTAGGAATCAGACGTAGCAGACCGTAGAGTCCCATTGGGTGCACGCATAGGCTTCTCCAATTTAAATCAAGAAACCGAGAGGTTGATTGACCAGCTCGAGAACAACTGCCGAGCCACATTATATCATACCAACCATCATGCTCAAATCAAAACGCATAACACCAGACAATTTGTACTTTGTGGTGCTTCCGGTCATCAATCAACACCTTTTTTTGTAAGAATCTGTCACCCCTGCATGGGCGACGAACCAACGGCACCGATTGAGTGGAAGCCGCCGTGCCATTCCCGCAGATCTCCCCGCATTCTCAGCGGTCGGATTCCCGCCACTAGCGGTTTTGCTTCGACGGGACTGGCGGAAATCACGACGTGCCCGTCTCCACGCTGGCGGGAATCGGGATTGGAATCAGAGTACATAATAGCAGTGTTTGGGCCGTGGGCTGCGAATCGAGAATGATTTCCAAAGTTTTCGACGACCAAATCGAGTTTTGCGTGGGTGCATGCTTCTGCACGCTTTCATCGTGTCTTTTGAATGAAGCTATACGATTTATGCCGATGTCTTTTGAGGAAACCCGCCGGGCAATACACCATCTCCGACGCAAGCGACCTTAGGCCGAAGTGAACCACCGAGATTTTTCCATGTCATCATATGCAATTCCGCTCCATGGGCTTCGTTGTCTTTGAGTGTCCTCTCGGCTGTATTCTCACGAGGTCCGGGCAGATTAGATGTTTGCCTGCACGAGGACATGGATTTATCTGTAACTCGACCATGGCCTTAGCATTCGACAGGAATTGGTGTCGTCAGGCGGCTGCATAAGAAGGAATCTGGCTTTCTGGTTCGATTTCTTCGGCAGCCTACGGAGAACTGCCTCAGTATATCATATGCGAGTTCCCGCAGATTCGAGATCACGTGCGGTGTCATTAGAGAGACCTGTTTCGTACACGTCGTAAAAAGTCAGTTCTTTCCAGATGTCCTTTATAGGCAGCTAACTTACAGTTCACTCAGAGACCAGGTTTCGTCCGAGACAATTGTTATCCAACTGTTCATCACCTAGCCTCTCGACGGCCTGATGACCTCGGCTTTCGGTCGATCCCCAAGACGGGCGCAAGCTAATGCGATGCGTTCATACTGGAGTTGCAACCTCGAGCGCGAGGAAAACCAGCAGACTGATGTATGAAGAGCTTGGGGAAGACAGCGCATTATCACATGCAATGCTTCGGCCGAAAGTCTGAAGCCAAGTCTGTTGTTTTTAACCACAGAGGTCGCACCCAAGGCCAGTTATGGAAGCCCGAGGACACCACCATGGCCAAGAATAGCAGGCAGAACGATGGAGTGGCGTCATATCTGGAGAGAAGAAGCTGAAACTTGCAGCTGCATCGCTCTAGATATGCGCTCAGGTTGCATCGATCCGGAGCGCGTCACGGAGTGGTTCACTAGTTTTCCGCGTGGCAAGACGAGAGATTGTAAGGTTGCGGGAGCACCCGTCTGGGGTCAGGAACACGGCCCTTCGGAGACGACGGAGACGATGCGGAATCAGCGGTTTGAGACATGCAGAGGCTTTCGTCTGCTGCTGCATGAGGTCCGTCAACTTGAGCGAGTTCCCCCATCGATGCGTCCTGGAGCAGGCCTGGGATGACAGGAACAAGAAGATCGGCGGGCATTTCGGACGAACCAGGATAGTCTACTGGCGCGGCGCAACCCTCCACCAGCGAAAGTTAGGCTTCGGGACCCCTCATTTCGACAGTCTCCTGGAGGACTCGGGGGTGGGCTCAGAGCTTGATTGGGCGGAGGTGTGTCCAAGACTGGCAAAGTCGCATTCACTCATACCGAGTTGATCAAACTGAACCAACGATGGACGGGCCATGAATCCGGAGAGTTATGCGGGCGCGGTATTGCAGGTACGGGGAGCGTGACATTGAACCACTGGATGTGCAGTTCAGGATCAGGAGCTTTTTGGGGGGGACACTCGTGGAGGGCATCGGCCAGAAGAAAGCCTTCGGCTCGTCGCTCCGCAAATCCATCGGGGACCCACCTGCGGGCTAGCCGGATCCGGCTAGACGGAGCCTCCGTGCGGCCCAGGCATGCGGAGAAGCCCCATATGTGAGGGGCGTCCATCGTTAGCCGAGCCACTGGGGACGCTCCAATGGGGGTTGAAAAGCGGGGGAAAGAGGCCGTACTGGGCCAGTGCCAATTTGCCCGCTGCAGGAGTGGCCTGGCCTGCACCTGCCTGGGGGGAGGAGGGAAAGAGGGAAGGAAGGAGCTAGGAAACGAGCGTGTGACTTGCTGTTTTTGATCGCCTTATTCCGAACGTCGACTCCAACGGCCGTTGCTGCTCAAAGAAAGCGAACTTCACATCCGGCCAGAGACATATCAAGGACGCGGCCGACGCGAAACGACTCGACCATCGATTCGCCATCAGGATCTGGCTCTCTCTCACTGCTCACGACTCTCCTCCGCCTATCCCTTGCGACCACAGCCCAGACCCCGACGATGAGATACTCAACAGCGTGCTCGGCGTGTCGGTAAGTCGTCAGCCGAACCCTCTCCGGGAATCTTTCTCTGTCTCTCTCCTCCCCCATTCCCGGACTTGTCCGACTCTGGAGATGATCGCATCGCTCACCGACGGCATGGCAGCGCTCGACGGCGCAAGTGCGAGGTGCCCATCGGCGGCGGCCAGTGCACCTACTGTGCAACCCAGAACATCGCCTGTTCACGCGCCGGCTCCATCATCCAGCCCAAAGCCGTGCCCGTCAGCCCGCTGTCTATCGCGACGCCGACGACGCCCTCTGTCACCGAGATCATCGTCGCCAGCCCCCCTGGCATCACTCCGGTCGCTGCTGTTTCCGACAAGGCTCTGTGCTTCGAGCTGGTGGAGCTGTACTTCAAGTACATCCACGACTGTCTCCACTCCCTCTTCCACCGGCCCAGCTTCATGCTGGATCTGCACGAGGGCACTGCTCCTCTGGCACTTGTTTACGGCATGATGGCGCTGTCAGCGAGGTATGTCATGATCGAGACTATTCGCTCCAGCGAGTTCTTGCTAAGTTTCCTAAGGTTCTCCTCAAATCCCATCTTCAATGGCATTGCTCCTATATCGAGGGGAGAGCTCTTTGCCAACGAATGCAACATGCTGCTCAACCTTCGAGATGTATCTCTCACGAGCATACAGGCATGCGTCTTGCTTGGTGCCTATTCCATTGTAGAGGGAGAGGCAGGCGCAGAAAGCGTCTTCTACTCAGCAGCATGTAGGATAGCCAACTATCTCGACCTCCCAAACCTACCCACACCGGACCCGTTGCAGAGGGAGATTCATATTAGAGGTACGTACCGTAACTCATGCGTACGTTGAGGCTGTTTCGCTCGCTTACACTCGTAGTCTACTGGTCGCTCTGCATGATCGATGTCTGGTCATCAACCGGTGTAAACCTTCCTCGTCTCATGGAACGACGAATGAACGTCCCGTTACCGATGAACGAGTCAACCTTCCTCAACATGACCCGTGCGAACAACAACCACTTCGACTTCATCCTGTCGCCAAACCGGGAAGACTCGCTCATCGCCCAGATGATCAAGCTTAACAGCATCCTGCTAAAGGTCAACGACGCCATCAAGTCTCTCACATCGGACTCCACAGTAACAAACATCGACGAGACTGTCTCAACCCTCGCGCAGGAACTTGAGGCCTGGGAGCTTGAACTTCCTCCAAATCTCCGCGATACCCCAAGCAACCTGCACTCCTTCGCCGCCCAAGGCCTGGGTCGTATCTTCATCGCCGTGCACACGGGTCACTACCACTACAGCCAGTTGCTTTTCTACCAGTACCTAGATGAGGTCCAGCGCTTCCCCGCCTCCCCGACCGCCCAGATCTTTGCCAGGAAATGCAAAGAGAACGCCATCTCCATGTCGCGTATCATTGACCTCGCCAACACCACGCCTGGCTGTGACGCCAAGTTCAACATGCTGGGCCACATCATCGTCATCACGTCGTCCATCTTCATCCATACGCTGCTTTTCGAGACTGACGAGGCCGAGATTGCCAACGCGCGGGCAACCCTGGAGCGCCACTTCAACACCCTTGTAGCCCTGCGGGTGTACTGGCCTGGGCTTGAGGTGTGCTTTGTCCGCCTCAAGACTTTCCACGAGCTGTGTCGCAAGAGCATGAACACGAGCTACCGCATGGACCGATGGATGCTACGGTTCTTGACCGAGTTTGCAAGGCCTATTGATGAGAAGGAGCGCGATGAAGACGGCAACATGGATTTGGACCGGTGGAGTGTGGGCAACATTGGTATCAGCCCCGAGAATTGGGCATGATCATGCGGCACCAATACGGAAAAAGAAAATGCGGCGTGGTTCTGAGCATCAGGTTAGCCCAGAACTGTGGGATCTCCGTCACAACGGCGACAGCAATGGCTCTAAGACCGCCGCTGCGAGTGAGTGAACCATCGAGGACATCCCGACAGGCCATGTAGGTGACCCGTCGACAGGGCTTCGAAACACACATGTCGGAACTCGGATGCAGTCTCCTCACCGCAGCACCTACCTAGGACTGCAGAAACCGGGGCATCTTTGGGGGAAGATGGGGTCAACCACCTCGCGGCCCCCGCAAATCCACTTTCGAGGCGGGGTGTAACTTCCCCAGATTCCCAGATGCGACATGAAGCGCCGCGCCCGCTCTCTCTGATGCTGCAGTCTGTCGCCTATGACGACGCACCGAGATGAGCACTCGTGAACCAGCGGATTCAGCCAAGTAAGATGCTGGACGAAGAGGGCATGAGCAACCCTTTCAGCTATCATTTGTGAAGCCATTTAATGGCCTTTACATAGCGCGGACCAAGACAATTGGATGGTGTCGAAACGATGAAATATATTGATAAACGCGTCTGGCTGCATGTCTTATCTACCTTAGCAAACGCCATGTTGAATACCATGAGCCCTGACCAGGCCGTTTCTGGTCCTAGTACACTGCTTCTCAAACCACCGAACCCGACTTCGCAGTGAGAGTTTGCTGCTCAACTCCATCCTCCTCCTCCACTCCCTTCGCCGCAGCTACCTCCACGTCAAACTTTGGATGCTCCGCAAACCGCCGTACAGGCACGCCCTCGTGGAACATGCGGTCAATCTCCTCCAGACTGCGGCCCTTGCACTCGGGCACGCACAGAAACACAAACAGCGCGGAGCACACGGCGATGCTGCCAAAGATGAAGCCGACCTTGCTCTGCAGGCCCGCGTACGGCTTGTTGAGAAGGTACGGCAGCGTGAAGTTGACGAGGAAGTTCATGAAGATGTTGACAAGCGAGGAGGCGCGCTGCGAGCGGTCGCGCAGGCGCAGGGCGGGGATCTCGGTGACGACGACGTAGGTCAGCGGGCCCCAGCCGAGGCCGAAGCCGGAACCGAAGAGGAGGAGCATGCCGACCATGCCGGATTTGTACGAGGTCGGGATCGGGGTGTGCACGCCGAGGCCGGCCATGGTGAAGAGGGCGGCGGCTTGGATGAAGGAGCCGAGGAGGAGGATTTTGCTATGCGGCAAAGTTAGCAACCAGACCTCTCTCGTAATGTGTGCGGGAAAGGATAATTACCGTCGTCCAACCCGGTCCGTCAGGAACAGGCACAGGATAATCATGCCGCTCGTCAGCGCGGAGGAGCCGAGCGTGACGTCGAACGGGTTCAGCGTGCCGAGCGACTTGACCCACACCGCGCCGTACTGGCTCGCGAACGCCTGGCCGGTGGCCTGCTGGAAGAAGGACATGCCGACGGCGATGGCGGTGCGCTTGCGGTTGACCCCCTGGAAGAGCTCGCGGGTGCGGCCCTGCTCGGGCTCGTCGACGAGGGACTGCTGGATCTTGGCGAACTCGAGGGCGATGGCGGCGTCGGGCATCGTGCCGGCGCGGAGGGCGTGGTGGGCTGTTTTGGCTTCTTCGGTACGGTCGCGGAGGAGGAGCCAGCGGGGAGACTGGGGGGTGTTAGTTGCGTGAAGTTTCTTGGTGGAGGGGAGGGTAGAGGGCGGACCTCGGGGATGAACCAGATTAGGCAGATTACGATGGTGGGGATGACGTAGAAGAGGCCGAAGGGGATTCTGTAGGCGCGGCTGTCTTGGAACTGGGAGGTGCCGCGGCAGATGGAGTTGATGACGAGGCCGCCGAGCTGTGTTTGCTTGTTAGAGTCGTGTTGTTTCGGATTCCAGGTTTTGACTTACACCGATGGCGAGTTGGTACGTCCCAACGACCATGCCTCGCACAGGCGCAGGCACGATTTCAGACTGGTACACCGGGACAACGGACAGCTCGAACCCAACGTAGACATCTTCTCACTCGTCAGCTTCCCAAGACTTCTCTACACGTGGCTGAAAGGGCACACTTACAGTTCAATATCCGGCCCATCAAGATCTGCTCCTTCCTCGTCGACGTCACCACGACCGTCGCGCTGATCAGCGCGTAGACGCTCATCACGAACATGGTCGTGCGCCGCCCGAACCGCGCGCTGGTCAAGCTGCCGACGACCAGCCCGACGGCGAAGCCGATGTAGTTGAGGCTGTTGAGCAGCGAGAGGAAGTACGTTGGGATCGCGTACGTGTTCTTGGCGGGGTCGTACTCGCCGAACTGCCGCTCGAAGGCGTCCATGGCCTGGGTGGAGGTGAAGGCTTGGTTGTCGAAGCCATAGTTGAACTGGGAGAGGGCGATGAGCAGCACGGAGGCGGCGAGGCGGGCGTTGAAGTGCTGTGTTATTGAGGAGAGGCCCATTGTGAGGACTGGGGAGTTGCGACTTTGGGAAGGGGTCTCAATGGCGGCTTGTTAGGAGTGAGGGTATGGAGGTTGGGGAGGTTATATGTCGTTGACTCGTTGCGCCCTTTGGAGAGATGCCTTCGGCATGATCATGCGGGAAACGTATCCCAGACCCCTGGTGTAGGTCGGCATGCTCGTCGAAACATGTCGTGACGATGAATTTGAGGACTAGAGGCCAAGGATTTGCTTGCTAATGCCTGAACAGTTACGCGGTGGAGATGGCAACATCGTGCATCTGGGGTATAGCGTGCCGGAACTCGGCGGGTAATGCGAGGTGATGGTCCATTGCTGCGAGCGAGATCCGGCGAGATGCGGTGGGGTCCACTTTTGGGGGGTGAACACCATCTTGGCCCCGTCTTGCGTGCTCACTTGCTACTTTTTGCGTCTGGATATCTCCGGACAGTGGTTGCTGCTTATTTGAAAGAGTCCGTGGCGGCACCTCGAAAGGAGAGGATTGCTTGATGGAAGTTTGCACCGTGGGAGTTTACCCGGCTGTCGAGACTCCTCCGTGTCCGGTCCCCGTGCTCGGATCCGGGTCGAGGTAACTCGACAAGAACCAGCTGAGCTCGCCGCTCATGTCGAACTGCGACGGCGCAACGTAGTAGTCCTGCGCCAGCTGATTCTCTGCGAAGCCGGACCACGTCATCGGCCCGTCAAGGCTGGAGTCGATCTGGCCGAGGCCTATCGGGTGCGCCGTCGAGGCCTGGTAGATGTCGCTGGGCGCGTGCATCTGATAGTGATCTCTATCCGCCATAGGCACGTCTCCCTGCAGTGACCGCGTGGAGAGTTGTGGCGAGTCAGAGTGCTGGATGGCGACCTCGTCGACCGTCTTCGCGTTGGCGTCGAAGCTCTGCGAGAGGGGGTGGTACCTGCTCAGCAGCGTGTTGCGCTGGACCTCGCTGCTGATCGGGGCTGCTTCCTCGGGGCTTTCGGGTGCGGTGTGCCGGTTCTTGGTCTCTGTCTCGATCATCTTTTTGACGTCTTGCTGGAGGACGGCGATGATGGGCGCGATGTTGGACATGTCGTCGAGTAAGGCGAGGTTGCTCTTGCACAGTGCCTCGACTGTCTCATCGTCTAGAGTGACTGGTGTGTCTGTAATAGGGTCCACTAAATTGTCGTATAAACTGTACCTCCTTGCCGTGAGAAGAGTCTTGGTGCATTGGTGAACCATGTTGCCGTACCCCAAACCAATGGGCAGACGCGTCTGCTTTGAGTGCAGCGCGCCTTTGGAGCGGAGGGCCTGGAGATGCTCCCACAGACGAGCCATGCGAAGGGCGTGTGAGACGGCAAGAGCTCGCCATGTTGAGACAAATTCCGGGGGCGCTTTGGATGTGAAGGCTGGCGCTGCGGACTCGCGGGCGTGACCGGGGAGGCAGGTGCGGTAGAGGTCGCAGCAGGTCTGCAGGTACCACGAGTTCAGGGTGATATAGGCGGAGAACTCGGGGGTTGTGGAGTGGGAGAACATGTTGAGCTCGCTCGGCTGGATGTGGGAGGGCATGTGGGCGAGGAAGTTTGCGAGCTGGGACTGGAGGGATTTGAGGGTTGTGAGTGCCTTGGCGACTGCGGCGGGGGATGAGTCGGAGCGGCTTTCGAGGACGATAGCTTTTGTTGATCTGTGATATGTTAGACTCTTTCCACTATTTGGGATGATGAGGGGGCATGCTTGCCTGAGAACTTCGCATCGGAGGCTGAATAGGATCATGACATAGGCCCTAGCTCCGGCGTCATGAGCAGCGAGGGCCTCAACCCCATCACTAAGCTTGCTCGTTTTCTTCAGTAACCCATGACGGAACGTATGTTCGGCGTTAGGCAGTGGCGTTCTCATCCAGCGGTTCGGCAGACAGGTAAACTCGTCGAAGCCCGCAGAGAGCCCCTTATCCATCCACCAGACGTGCCATACCAGCCTCCTCTCACACTCTCGTCGGATGACCGTCGATGTGTCGGCGTCTGGGGGCAGCGGCCTTTCATCATTCAGCTGGAACGACACGCATAACCTAGCCGCGGTGCTGATCAGGAGCCACACCTTGCCAAACTGTCTGTACGCGAAGTTTTGAAACTTTGACAGAGCCATGAGCTGAATGTTGAGCACCTTGAAAACGTTCAGGTTGGCAAAGATGTACCCGTCAACTTCCTTGGCCCACTGGATCGACAATACTCGAGACTCTCGGGATCGCGAGACGAAGATCGCCGCTGCGGCACAGACGGAGGTGCACAGGATTGGAGGTAGTTTGCCAGCATAGAACTCTTCCATCATTGACGGCCGGTGGAAGAAGTCGTATCCCAATGGATAAACATGGTCGAAGAAGACTTCGAGATGTTGACGGATGACATCTGTGCTCAGCAGCGTCTGCTCCAGCGAGGTGTTGAGCGACGGCGTCTTCGTGTACTGCTGCAGCGTCGACTCGGCTTCATATGAAGCACCCTGACTGAGCGTACATGTGCTGGAGGACTCCGGGGACGCAGACTGTTGCGGCTGGCCGTTCGCCTGCCGGCTCTTTCGCCGCGACGGCGACGAGGGGTAGACGCAGGTGAGGTTCCGCCGATTACAGTGGAAGCACTGCGGGCGGTGACCGGAGCACTTTGCCTTCTGGGCGCGACACTCGGCGCAAGCGTTGGCAATGCGCCGGCGTCTGGTCCCTGCCTCGGTGAGGGTCTCCGTGGGCGCCAGTAAGTTGTGGGGATCCCCGGGCTCTGAGGAGACGGCCGACTCCGGGTAGTTGAAGGTGCAGCCGAGTCTGAGACGGCGGCAGTTTTCGCACGGCTCAGGACCTCCGGTGCATTTAACCTGGTGAACGGTTCAGCTGATGTTCAAGTTGGTACAGGATACAGTTGAAAGCTTACCTTCCGGCGCTTGCATGTAAGACAACGCGGCCTGGGCGGCCACGTCGCATCGGCGCCCGACTCCGGGCTCGGCATCTCGTCTCTTCTGCTCGGCGGCCCGATGTTGTGGATTAAGGAAAGAGTCAACCAGGCAATTCTTCACGCGTTGAGCGGGGAGACAGGACCGCATCTCATCACCAAGCCAGGCGGCACGGGACGCGGAGCCCGGAACAGATCGAGGGTAATATGGTCCGGCATCCCCAGTTTCTCCACCGGGAGGGAACTGACGTGCTCGCGATGCGGGGTCGCTCTAAACCAGTTTGAAGCAAGGGTCACCCACAGTTCGGGCGGGTTTGGCAAATTAGAGGGCTTCAAGCAGCCTGAATTGGCAGAGCACACCATCGCGGAGTGGGATGGCGGAAGGAGAGTTTTGCGCCATTGGGTGGTTTGCGGGTGCGAACCGGTGGAGGGCAGTTGAGAAGACAAAGATAACACAAAACTGCGAGGTGCTGCGTCTCTGTTATTTGACACACGGTTCCTCGAGGATTATCGTAGACCTATTCATGGTTTTCGCCTGAGGAAGTCTCAATAGAATCATCCGCGACAGACACCGTAACACCTGGCTAATAGGCACATGATTCCAGCTGGTGGTGATGATCGCATTTTCGATCGTCCAATCTTTGTCAAAGACTTCATGGACGAAACTCTACCTTGCAGCTTCTTTCCGCATTTTTCCTCGCAGCCTGACAACCTAGCTCATGCTCCATGCATAGTAGAACTCTGCGGGCACACCTTCTGTTTTATACCGGATCCCTGTCCCACCACAAGACAACAGCAAAGATAGAATCTCCTTGTGACCACCCCTTACAGCACGGTCATATGCGGTTCATAGCGGACCGAATAGACCTTTGTCGCTGGCACCAAGCTCAAGTAGTGCCCGAACGATGTTTGTATGTCCTTTGAAGCATGCAGCTTGAAGAGCAGTCTCACCCCCGTAACGTGCGTTTGGGTCTCCGCCGTTTGCGAGAAGTACCTGCAGAATTTCTTCGTTTCCCATGCTAGCTGCATGATAAACTGACTTTTGCGTCTCAGCACCATTATTGAGAAGCAATTTGACAATCTCTATGCGCCCGTTCTGACATGCGATAGACAGAGCTTGTGTTCTCCGGTCAGCAGCATCGGCATCTGTATCTCTTGTAAGGATCATTTCGACCAACTTATAGAGCCCCCTGCGAGATGCAGACTTCAAGCTCCAGCAGTAAAAGTCATCATGTGGGGGCTTATCAAGAAGCACCCTAACCATAGTATCATGGCCTCGTTTGAATGCGACGCATATGCTGTCGCCCTTAACGCAGCACATGATGTTAGCCTCGTCACATTTCTGGAGTATCATTTGCAGGATCTCTATGTGGCCTTCTTCACAGGCAGCCTTGGCCGCCTTGCCGCACCACGCCCAAACGTCGGCGTCAGGAATCTGCCCAATCAGAAGTCGGAAGAGCTCCTTGTTTCCCCGGGACGATGCACACACAAGCGCGTTCTCGTCTATCTTTGCACCTCTAGCTAACAGGAGGTAGAAGGTGTCATCGTTATGTCGCCGTATAGCTGCCGCGAGAAGACTTTCATCTTTTCGGGCATCGATGAGGGTAGCATCTTTTTTCAGCAGTGTCTCAATCGCCCAAGTAAGTCCTTCGTTTGCCATGTGGTATAGTGCTGAAGGGTTTGCAGTGGAGGTTCTGTAGAGTTGATGGAAAATATCGCAGTCAATGAACTTCTCGAGCAGAGCGTTGATTCGTGGGGTATTGGCGTGAAGGGCGTGTTTCATCCAGTAGTCTGCAGCATACCTTGCAAACGGGTATTTCATTTTGATGAGGACGTCCAAGCCAACCCCACGAGAACCTTGATAGTGGTAGCAGGACGATCCATGGTCGCACGTTGACTCTTCGTCCTCATAGTGGCATTCGCAATCTGGGCGAGGCACTAGTTCCACGTCTAGCAGATATGCAAGACAGATCTCTGTAACCGAGGTAGCTGCCGTCAATAATGATGATGAAAAGAGGGCAGAGATATCTTGTGGCAACCGATCAGAAAGCAGGTATTCCTTTACCGTAGCATGCGCGAGTTGGATCTCCGCATCTACCCAGTGGTCCTTAGAATGGGCGATGATAACTAAGCCAGGGCAGTATCCAGTGATCTCTTCCGGAATAGGCATTCTGTTATGAGGATCAAACCTGGGCTCCGCGTCCGGGTCTACAGCGAGTAGATCAACAGCCTCTTTGATTCGAAGTGGTCGCTCAGAGAGGGCAAGAAATTGCAAGAGTCGTACAGACTGTGCCTCTGACCGCTTAGGAATTCTCTTCAGAATTGCTGCGTACGTATTTACCAAGTCATCTGGCAGGGCTTTCAGCTCTCTGCGTAGGGAGGCGGGATCTTGGCAGTGTTGAAGGGTGTTAAGTTGTAGCGCAACCTAGCGAAACCTACACTTTGGTGTCAACTGGATATCACAAGTCACACCATAGATGGATCCTGACTTACACACCGTCGGCCTTTGCCATTAAGCTGTCCCCGATCTCTTTTTGAATAATCTCGTAGCCTTCCCGGCGCCATCTTCTGAAGGTTTCGCGAGTACTCAATGTCCCATGGACGTACGCACGTATATCCTTCCCGACCATCTCACCACCCAAAATTATCTGACTATCGGTGGAGCCTTCAAGGTACAGTCGAGTCTTATATTCTCCACGACATGTAACAAGGAGACGGATGAGTAGCGTAGATTGGATGAGGCTTTTTACCCAAAGCATTACCCCTTGATGTTTGGAGTCAATACCTGCCTCACACTCGTCGAGTGCGTCGAGCACAATTCAAACTTCTCCGACGCACCGAATCATGTTCTCGAAAATCTTGCAAAGCGATTGTGTACTGGGTTGCCTTGCACCGTCTCTATGACTGGAGAATAGTGACTTCAATTCAGTCCTGGCGTCCTCGCTTTGGCTGCACAATTGACCTATGAGTGATCTGATTGCACCGTCAAGCGACTTTCGGCGATTGTCAGTAAAGGCAAAATAGAAGAAGACGAGCAGACGACTTTGGTGCATTGAGCCATGTATTACGTCGTCGATGATTGTTGAACAAAGGGTGGTTCTGCCGCAGCCTGGCTTGCCGTGAACCCAAACGGAAACTGCCGGGGTTTCCTTCCATGATGCATAAGCATTGCTGTCAAGAAACCATTTTCCCGTGCCATCTTGGCGATGTTCCAAGGTAGAGTTATGAGTTTCCCACAAATCACACGGAGAAAGCCAATTCTTGATGTTCTGCGAAAGCTTGTTGTTGTTCAGTTGTTGAAAACCTTGATTTGCTTTTTCGGTGTCTGATGTAAGCTGCGATATATCCTCCAGCACTATGACAAATGTAAGCCACGAAGCAACTACCTGAAAAAATGATGTTTACCAACTTTTCTCAACGATCTGCTTCATATCCGGAGACTTCGAAACATCCACAGCGTCGATTTCCTGAAGAAGCTCTTTTGAAAATGCAGCAGCTGTTGCTGCTGCGTAGTTTTGCCATCGATTATTCTTGTGGCTGTCTGCGTAGTCGCAAATCCCCCGAATCACTAGGCAGGGGAAAGCATTCATCAGTCCAGCTGCTTCCATCTCGAAGCAGATGCATTTCTCGTCCATTTGCATTGATATTTCATCGCGGCACAAGCTATTCTTCATTACCGAATTCCCCGAAGCAGTTATACCGTAGTGAATCACCGGACCCGTTGAGCGTCGTTCTTTTCGGGCGACTTCGCCTGCGCGGTCACAGAAAACGCAAATTTCAGTTTCCATTACGGCTTCCTGGGCAGTTCTGTTCTCAATCGATGGAGCACAGATAGATTTATTTGGTCCTGCAGCCGTATTGGTCTCCGCTCACGTGTGGAACAGACGATTCGAAGAGCCGGTCGTTGTGCGCGCCTTGGTATATAAAGGCAGGGTCGTCATCATCAGGCTCTGCCAATCTCGGGGAGCGGCGAAGCATTTCTGCAAGAATATCGGGAAGTTCAGAGCCCTTCCGGCGCCGCTTAGCTTTGAGCTTTTTTAACCCCGTGAGAAGGACCGTGGGAGGTGGAGCAAGAGATCCTACGTGCTGGAAAGTACCGTCTTGTCGCTTTTTCCCTAAGTCGTACTGAAAGACTCCCGAGCTTTGATCAGTAGGCTGACTAACAACAACGTCTCCAAGACGTATGTCAATATTCTTCTGAAGCTTGGGGATCCCAGCGCCAATGCCGACCATGAGACCTATCCGAAGGTGCGGCAAAGAGCTGAGCAGACTGGACGCGGTAGTTGCTGCAGAAACAAGGCCGTATGTTCCTTCGGGCAATGAGGCGATGACGACGTTATGGGCACTCATGCGGCCCCACGCGTAGCAGTTATCGTCTCTTTCATGCTGGGCAAAATTCAACGGGCTCCCGTGTTCTTCGTCGAGCATCGCCTCTACAGCTGTAAGTTCGTTGGCAAGCGCAGTGATGATGCCCACGGAATATTCCGTAGGATTCGAAAGCTGCTTAGGAGGACCCATGATGAGTGAAACAGTGAGGATTAAATCAACCGTTAATAATGTTCGAGTAGTCGCAATTATATGTGTTTGTTGGAAAGAATGGCGGCATTCCAGCCGTAATCTCTCCAACTGCGGAGTCCTCAGGTCTATCTGTGCCGCACAATCATAGGCAGTTGGATGATAGCGGGCACCAATGCGAGGCGAGTACCACCTATCACCCCGCTCCATCATGCCTGAATTTCGTGGCACCGGTGGAAGGCCGGAAATTTGCTGGCCGCGGCCGTTCGATAGCCCAATAATAGTAAGTGAGTCCATTCACACAGATCATTCACCAGTGAGGAACCAATCACTTAGACTACGTCGAACGCCATTTTGACGGCCATATTCGCTTACGTGTGCTACGTATCGGCCATTCATTCCGTTTGGAGAGGTTTTGTTGTCGTCTGCCTCAGCGGGCAGCTACACAGAGATGCTTACTTCGAAAATTATGACTTCAATGTTTCAAGCTGTGTTGACCAAGTCAGGTCATCGAGATACAACTTTCACGGACGTCGCTGTTGTAGGTATGGAACATTAAGATCTAGACTATCAAAGAGAAATGAAGTTCACGAAAGAAGTCCCCTCAAATGACGTATTTCTTCCCTGGTTATTTCAATGCTGCATTTCAACTATGAGCTTGTCGCAGTGAAAGCCCGATGGCCAAGAGGTGGTTGGTTTCGTACTCACCCAGCTTGAGCTTGGTTTTGTGCCTCAACCAAGGGTAATCATGCGAAATTCCAACCTTGTTGGCACTCTTAAACGGTTTTTAATGACTCCGCTGCACACCCATGCTTTTTCTGACGTCGAGCCATGGATGCAATGTCGCCGGAGCCAGGCTCGCTCTTGTCCACAAAGCCACATTTCTCGTACAATGGCGCACCGTCCTTACTTGCATCCACGTACGCTGCGACGCCATTTTTGTCGGCGAGCTTACAGCCCCACTGGACCAGCATGGAGCCGCAGCCGCGTCTCTGATAATCTGGGTGTGTTGCGACTGTGTCTAAATCTGAGCGAAACATCAGGTGAGTGAAGACGCAACGGTCGTTCCAAATGTGACAATGACATACAGTAATGTTTTTCGTTTCCCATGACACGAAGTCTTTCATTTTCTTCTCTCTGGAAGAAGACGTCGCAGACATCACCGGGCATGTCGTCAGCCCAGGATGGATATCGCCGGCCACGATCCTCCGGCATGGACAGGTCCCATTTCGCGTAGGCAGCTATTCGCGGTCGTCCGTTGGCGTCCAAGTTTTCTGGATCAATCACTTTGATGTAGCGCTGGAAAGGCTTGTTGAGGATGTCGTGATGATTGGCATCGTCCCACCACTTGCGCACGCCTGGTGTGTCCGGCCACAGGCGTCTTAGCTCAGGGTCTGTGAAAGCGGCGAACCAGACCTCAGTCAGTGCCGGGACATCTTCCACGGTTGCTGGCTCGAGTCTAAGACTGCTAGGAGCCATTGGGCGGCTTGCAGTGATACTCAATCAGTGGCCGATAAGTGCGTTGGTAAGGTGTTGATCACGTTGAAGGAGTATTGATGCGGGGATTCGGCTCTTTGACTGGCTGGGGCTTATGTCATTGCACCCGTACACCGGAGCCTTTAGTCATCCGGTGAACCCGGACCGGGGCCGAAGAGTGGGACCAAGGATCCCCGAGGGCCGGTGCAGCCGGTATTTGGGGCAATACTCGGTGATTTAGCCACAATTCGTCGATTTGATAGTGCCACGAGGGTGCTATATTCATTTGGTGGAAATATCCGGATATTGTCAACCTGTTTCTTGTTCGAGAGCGGCAGGGACAGACGTATGCCCAGCCCACCTTGCAGGAACAGATTCTCCGCCTCACGTCAGCATCATCTCCTGAGAGCGGCTTCTGATGGAAGTCTGCTCATACTAGCCTTCATCGCTCGTGATCATGCGCTATACAAATAACGTTAATCGCGTTAAGCATTTTGACAACAATGCCACAGGTAACCGCAAGTTTACATGAGATGACAAAGCCCCAGTATGGGAGGTTTGCTGTCATAGGGCTGATGTCTTGTCAGCGAAAGACCAATAGTTCAAGAGAAGACATGGCGCGGTTAAGTCCAGTCCTTCCTTTTGGCGGTTTGGGCTTTGGAAAGGATTGAAGTGTGAGATGGGGGCCGCAAAGCCACCCAATGGCGCCTATGGACACATTTGAAGGAATGGAATCCGTAAAGACGACCAATCAGGCCTGGCTGGTCCCTTGTCAGTTGCTATCGTGCAGTGGCACCACTTGTACCCTTGAACATACTTAACTAACTTAGCCTAGCAGACACCCTACATGCAATCAAGGACGCGGAGAATGCGGGACAGCCCTACGCATAGCGCTACAGGAACTCGGCGGTACTCGTATTCCTCCGGCTGTGGAAGCCGCAGGCCCAAAGGACTCGGTCGGTAATGCCATTGGTCTCCTTTTCCGGAAGGAGAATAAAGCTCTCACCACACGACAAGCCATTAAACCCGCAAGCGAGACAAGGTTATATGCGGCAAGGTTGACTTCAAGTTGGGGGCGCATGGTTGCTGCGGTTAGCGTTCTCACGGGCAGATTCCTCCTACGGACCTATGGACTTCACCGGGATGAGACTGCTAAGTCATCCCGAACGCCTTCTGGCCCTTTTTAGCCACACCATAATTACAGGCTGCCCGTGGACATCTCGGCCGAGTTGTGACTGAATGGCCGACCTGAAGTCGTTTCAGCCCTAGGGGGACTTTAAGGCTGCCCGCTTCGGCTTCGGCATCAATGCCATACGCATGTAGCAATGGCGCTCCCGTCTTTAAGCGGTCTGCGGCTAGAGTTGGTGTGCACTGTCTGACACTCTATAGCAACTAAACCGACGAGGGTCGGATCACCCGATGATTGGACAACTGTTGAAGTGGTTTTGCTATTTGTTTCTGGAGCAGTTATGGACCCCAAAAATTCTACAAGTCTCGAGCATGCGCGCAACTATTTCTCAATGGCATTCATTTCGCAGTTGCTGTCCAATTTCCGATACTCTGCCTACAAGTATAGTTACACACTTGATTTCAGAGGATCTCGCTTATGATGTCCGGTCCTTTTGTCGGTCGCGCCTCCCAAAAACGAAGCGAGAGCGAAACGACATCATGCGTTTTTGAACAGCGAAGCATGGTTGATAACCTTAGTCATATGCAAGATTTATTTAGATTGTATGACTGATCTGGAAACGCCACCCTACTGGCCAGCCCTAGCAATCACGGGATGGGATTCTGGATTCTACCAGACTTCCATGGCATGTCGAAGCTGCCTAAAACCTATTCCGTAACCTGCGGAGTCCGCATTGAGACCGGTTTTATCGAGGTGCCGTGCATGCTGCGTTTATTTCTACGAATCAGCGAGAAGGAAGGGGCTGATCAGTCGAATGCGAGTGGCTGAGATCCCGATGGAGGTGCCGAGGTTGCATGGTTTAACGGCTGACAGTGGAACACGTGCATGAGGTGCGAGTCCAGCCCGGTAGGGATTGCACCGTTGATGGACCCGTCATGTCGGATGATGGAATTTCGCGCCAAACTACGTGCACTTTTGCTTCACTGGGCGAGACATCAGGGCTCTGCAAACCATGTGGCTCATGGTCGTTGGCAGGCGCATGGGTTCCTCCAACGACAGGGTGCAAGCCGGGTGGGATGGACCACAGAGATGGTGTTATCTCACTGCAAGGTAAGTAGCGTTCAGAATCTTGGCGTCGTGACGAGTGGAAAAGCAGCGTTGGTGATATGAACCGAGTGGACCTCGCCAGGCAAACATACGCGTGTAATTATGGGTTATCAAGCGGAATCGGTCTTCTACCGGGTTCTTCAAGTCCTTGGCCTACGGACATGTGCGTACGGTCGTTTCATTCAGTTGGTTGTATGCGGCCCAATATGTGATGTGTAACGGTAAACATCGTCTATTCAGCCACTGACCGCCCTCAGTTCTGTGGCGCCGCTAACCCTAAGTCAGGTATCTAAGATCGAGTACCACCCAAGAGTTGATCGCGGCGAGCTAGTGTATGCACTTCGAGGAAACCTGCCTCTAGAAATGCGACGGCCCCGCCAGTGAACGCAAGACTGATTGGCTCTGTCGGATATATCCCCTGTCAACCCCACCGCCCCCTACGGAATGTCTCTGCCCCTTCGCAGGGCTTATGCGGGCGGAGGGTGGTGTTCTGCAAAATGCCCTCCACATGAATGACAGGGCTGCGCTGATGTTTTCCTAGGCGAATGCTGAGCGACGAGTTCCATTGGTCAAGATGGGCGAACCAGCGTAGACACCGCTCCAGAGAGGTCCAGACGTTCTGGCGATACCGCAATCTCCGGCTGTCATTTTTATATCTAGACATCGAGGAACTTGGAGAATCGTAATCGTGCAGATTCCACTCGTTCTTCGCGCCCAGAAAGGCAAAAGGAGGTTGCGAGGTCACCAATCGCTCACACTTCAGACCCTAAAGGCTCGTTCGGACTCAACCATCGTTAGCGCACATCCACAAACGGCTTGAACCAATGGCTAGGAAGGGAAGTCGCAAGGTGCGGACTGGGTGCTTGACTTGCAAGTGAGTCGTATCATGAGCAACTGGCGTATGACCACCGATGTGTTTTGTGCTAATCACATATATGCAGGATACGCAAGATCAAGTGTGACGAGGGCAAGCCTTTCTGCAACCGCTGTAGCAGCACAGGTCGAAAGTGCGACGGATATGCGGTTGAACCGGCATCGGTGCTTCGATGGCAACGACCTCAAACACTCCAGATCGACTCGTCAACCAACGGTGAAGAAGCCAGGGCCTTACAGTACTACTGCGAACATGTCGCACCCTTTATCGCCGGCCCAACCGACCCTTATTTCTGGACCCATCTGGTCGTGCAGTTTGTGAACCGCGAGCCGGCCGTTAAGCACTCGGTTATCGCCATCGGCTTGTTATACGGCAACATGGATGGCGGCACTAATACCCACCTAGACGGCGTGGCACTGAGCCACTACAACGCCGCAATTTTTGAACTGAAATCGCTACAAAACGACAACAACGGGCTAGTCTTGGTGGTCTGTCTACTTTTCGTCTGTATCGAGTTGTTACAGTCCAATACGGAAGCTGCCGTTAGACATTGCAATCACGGACTTGCGATGTTGGAAAGCTCGTGCTCAAAGCCGGTTGTACGGGATCACTTACTACCGATATTTCGGCGGCTGAACATGCTTCCATCTTTCCCGGGAACGAGCTACTTCAATAATGCCGGTGCAATAATTTGCAGGTGTCCGGTACCGGCTTCTTTCGACAGCTTTGCGCACGCACAAGCCACTATAGACGACCTTTATAACCAAACGATACAGCTTATACGGTTGGGAGACGAGTATCGAGTAGGCGCGTTGCGACACCAGACACCGATGAGAGAATTACTAGAGCGGCAAAGGGGCATACAATCATCACTCAATCAATGGCGCGGGTTGTGGGAGGATTTGGACGTGAGGTCAAAATCCCCAAGCACCCGAATAAGAGGCGGGCCAAGAGTTCATGCACTGCTAAAATACGAGCTGTCCCACATCTGGACCGACATGGCCTTTTCAGCAAACGAGGCGGGTTTTGACCAGCATTTGGAACGATTCCGTCAGATCACCGAGCAAACCACCAAGTTTGCTGAGTCGCAAGTCAACTGCCAACCGACGCATTTTTTGTTTGAAGCAGGATACACGCCCTCATTATTCTTCATCGCAACGAAATGCCGCGCGCTAGATGTCCGCCTTGAGGCTCTTCGACTACTATCGACACTTGGATCACCTCGAGAAGCGGTGTGGGATAAGGGCGAGCTATTTTGTATCGCCCGACGGCTCATTGAACTTGAACACAACGTGGGCCTGGACTCATTTGGCGTGCTTCAGTACACGGGACCGGAATCATGTCTTGGGCTCCCACGTGACGAAGTGAGAATCAGGCATTTTGTCCCGGAGAAGAGCACGCTCTGGGACTCCTCTATCAATGGAGTGGATATGGGCGGCAACTTCAAAGTGAGATTCTTCATGAGAACACCCGAGGACGCCTTATATGTTCACGAAGAGGTCCTCGGATGTGAATACGTTCCGGACTTGTCGCCTTTTGAAGGACAACATGAGTCCTTTTCAAGCAGCCCACAGAGCATACAAGGGTGGGAAGAGATTCCTATCTTTTGATAGCGTTCAGGGAACCATGGGGTCTGAAGTTTACATTAATACATAGCGAGCGTTCATTTTGCATCTGTGAGATAGATGAGGGGATCCCAATTAGATATAGAACACGGGTGATGTCTTCATGCATCGAAGTTCATATAACACACTCCACCTGAGCAATGACATGCTGAGCCTGTGGAACTTTGCATCTATCACTTACTCCCTTCGCCACAACAAATTTTGTTCCATTTGCGGAAGTACGATATTTTATCAGCATATGAATTGCTGAGAATAGGTATGTTGAATGCTTTGGTGGTTGCCTCGCTGTGCATCGCGCTTGGTCCATCTCGACAAAGTGCCAAGAACTGCTGAACAGGGAAGTCCGATGCCAAGAGATCGCCAACTTCCTTCGGCCCGCAACACCCTTGTTCGAGTTAGCTAAGGCTCTGAAAGTTCTTTCAACCAAAGGCGAAACTTTCGTTGAATTGTCGAGTTTTGCAATTTCAACATTTTCAAACGTTTCTTGGTATTGGGTAGATTTTTACTCGACCAGGCGTCTCCTTTTCGGAAAAGGAGTTCGATACGATGCTCCCCTGCAGTAAGGCGACCTGAAGCCTCAGGCTGCTGCAATTCGTGCCTAAGTCAGAGAAGGTTGAAAAGCCTCAGCTTGGTCTTGCGAGTGAAATGTTGATGGGGTAAGTACCTATGGACCAGGGACTTTGATCGAAGATGAAGAACTTGAGTCTGGGAGACCCAGTCAACAAGCCCAAACATTGCGCTCACGCCATTCTTCAATCTATTTTTGAAGGCCGCATGTATGAGTCGCCAGCTCGCAGCGTATCAGAACGTTCAGAAGTTCAAGTCCAATCTCTTGTCCAGAGTGAGTGGATGGGCGTTTGCTCCTTAATGTAAAGCATTCACCCTCGTAACAATATTATGTCCAGACTCCAATGTCTGATTCTCGTATAAGCTCCTTTGGCTATGATTCGTGGAACTTGGACATAGATCCAAACGGGAACAGAACAAGAAGGGTTGCATCGTATTTGACGCTATTGAATTAAGGTATTCGTCCCAACTACCGTTTTCCTCATCCAAGTCTCAAGACGCGGGGGAAGCCTCCGACACAGCCTCCATTCGGCACTGGCGTACTCAAATGTGCAACATCGTGCTGACGAAACAAACGTTCACTTGCGAGGCAAGAGACACTCGGATGAAGACCTGTCAAGCATACCCTAGCTTGCTCTCAGCAAGATGTTTCGTGGAAGTGTGCATCAGACGATCCACCCGCACTCCTTTTCCTTGCGCCTGATATGAGAATGCTACGAGGCTCGTTGGGTCTGACTCGCCGACTTATCCGAACCCCTGCATTGTGGTTCTTTGCAGGCGAGCTCTCCCAGGAACGGCCCAGGCCCGAATTCCCCTTGTGGCAGCTAAGCGTCTTTGTGATCGACTGCCAGTCTAGCCACCCCGCAATCTCCGTGCCGATCCACCTCGAACAAATTGTCGGGCGACACCAGCGCAATGGTACCACATGGGCAATTTAATCCGCCAACGAGAAATCGACTTCTCGAGAACGGCTCGGTTGCAGAAATATGAACCCTTGTTGCCGTGAGTTGCCGTGCCGGGGTCTCCCCCAGCTGGCGTGGACTCTAAGTTAAACTTCCAGAGCTCGGGATTGGTTGTTCTATCGGGTTTAATCTACGAGCTTGTCTCGTGCGTGCCGTCGACCGCCCCCGCCAATGAAGCCTGGGCACTCCCAGCAAGCGTTCCGCGGACTCCTCATTCACGATTCCAACATGAAGGACGAACGCTAGCAGTTGGAACGATGCCGTCGCTACCGCTGTCGCGTCCATCCATACAAGAGCCTTGTGGACCCTTGAAGGAGAAATACATAAAGGACGCCAAGCCTCGATCAATGTAACCAGTAGATCATTCTCCAAGTTCGGATCAGATTTGAGACGAACCAACGAACACTTACATTCTTTTGTTTTTTGCCCAATATGAAGTCCTTTTTCACCGTCCTCACCTTCGTCACGGCGGCGCTGGCCGCCAGCCGCACCTCCGCCCCCTCGGGCTGCGTTGTCGTCAAGAAGTCCCCTAGCAGCGGCCAGTTCAGCACCATCCAGAAGGCCGTCGACTCCCTCTCAACGACCTCTTCCAGCAAGCAGTGCATCTTTATCGACCAGGGCACTTACAGCGAGCAGGTCCTGGTGCCTGCCCGCACGGCTCAGCTTACCATCTACGGCTACACCGCCGACACGTCAAGCTACTCCGGCAACAAGGTCACCATCACCGCCAAGAAGAGCCAGGCTGATGGCCTTACCGATGACGAAACCGGTACCCTGCGTGTCAAGGCCAAGAACTTCAAGTTGTACAACGTGAATGTCGTCAACGCCTACGGCCAGGGTAGCCAGGCCATCGCCCTGAGCTCCTACGCCGACAGCGGTTTCTATGGATGCCAGTTCACCGGATTCCAGGACACTATCCTCACCCAGCAGGGCAACCAGCTGTACTCCAAGTGCCTCATCCAGGGTGCCACTGATGTCATTTTCGGCCAGAAGTCCATGGCTTGGTTCGAGAAGTGTGACCTCCGTGCCGTCTCTGCCAAACTTGGCTACTTCACTGGTAAGACTTAGCTACCAACACTCATGATAATGATGATAGTTTTCTAACATCTCGCAGCCAACGGCGCCGCCAGCTCCTCTGCTAAGTCCGAGTACGTCTTCAACAGCTGCACCGTTGCCGCTGCCTCCGGTGCCACTGTTCCCGATGGCGCCTTCTACCTCGGCCGTCCTTGGGGTGCGTACGCTCAGGTCGTCTACCAGAAGACTACCATGACCGGCATCATCAACTCAAAGGGCTGGTCTGTCTGGAGCACCAGCGACGCCCGCACTGGCAACGTCTTGTTCGGCGAGTACAGCGACACTGGCATCGGCTCCCAGGGATCCCGCGCCACCTTCTCCAAGAAGCTCAGCTCCGCTGTCGCCATCTCCAGCATTCTCGGCTCCGGCTACGCCAGTGCTGGTTACTACGACGCTTCTTACATGTAAAAACAACAAAAATGACAAGGGCTCTCAATCAGGATTGGGTTATTGGGCTGGCATTTGGAGAGGCAGAGCCCCATTGAACATACTCCGGCACCTTACAATATTCTTCGTACATATTATTCCATCGAATATAACTTTCATCTCATTTAACTGTTTTGGCCGACTCATATCGTACACAATGATTGCCCAAGTACACCAGCGAACGATGGAGGCGTGTTCAGCACAAATCTCACGATCATGACATGACGAATCCTCAAAAAACTCAAAAGTGACTTGCGCGTCCAGCTGTTTCTCGAAAATGCGAGGCGCTCGTTAGAATTGTTCGTTTCTTCTTGGGCTGCCCCTGTCGGCCTAGGTCCGTGGTGAAACAACACAAAATGAGGCTCAGTTTCAAGTACATTCAGCGGGTTCTCTGGCCCAAAGGCCCGGGCCACGGAGCATTCAAGTTGTCAGTTAGCTTGGCGGCCCAGATGCCAAGAACGGGATTAGCCTGCTGTAGTGGTCCAGCATGGGTGATGAGGAGTAAAAAAGTGATGGCTAAGCTTTTTGGACCACGCATTTGTCGATCGGATGTCGATGCCGATTGAACCCACTCGTTCCCCGGGTATGGCTCCGCTCATGCCCCTTAAAATGCTGCAATCATGATGGATACGATTTCAGATCAAGTGCTGCTGCTGCGCAATGCGAGATAGTGAGTCTCTTGTGAGTAAGCGACAAGTGATTTTTTCACTTCAGGGAGATTTATGCAGCGACGTGTTCTTTCGCCCTATTGTTTCACAGGATTTAGTAAAGTGGTCAGTCATCTCGAGGGCTCATGGTTAACGAGTTGAACTTCATGTTGTTCTATCTGCGACAACATGGAGTTGACTAAGGCCTTTGGCCCAATCACGTTCGCGATGCGCAGTTGACAGAAGGTAACTTTTTCCCTTCGAGTCCATCGTGCTTGGGTCTCTAGCATGCATGAACCTCGAGCGGTTTGTGTGGAAAATGAAACTTCATTTGGGCAAAAGCAAAATGACACATCGTGATTTTTCTTAAAGAATACGAAAGAAATCAACGGCCCGTTGAAATGAAACAAATAATTGAAGTCTTCGACAAACATGTGAGAAGTTTCAAGGATGCTCTGGCCGTGGCCCGTTGAATCTGCCGTGACCCGTTGACTCCGACGTGACCTGTTGACTCCGACGTGACCTGTTGACTGAGAGGGACCTTTCCTTTCAATCAAATCAAGATTGTAGCAACTATTTAAGAATGGAATCGAACGAATCGTAATCACATACAAATCTCGCAGCTCTTCACAACTCATGTTCAAGTCCTGTCTACAACCCGCATTATTCTACACCCCTCCATCTCAGACACAAGCCCACCAAATGATGTCTTCGTCGCCGGAGCAAGCGCCTCCCGAGGGCGACGGCGATTCCATGAGAATCTTTGGTCTTTCTCAACCTACCTCGTACCGCAAGGTCTGTGTCAGATGCGGAAGATGGGGCTACTTCGCGAGCGACAAGGAAATAACAAAGTCGGGTAGCAACACCGCGCGCGTTCCTGTTCTCCAAACATCTTGCTGTCAGAATATTTTCTGCATTGACTGCATTCTCTCCACCATTAGCGATGGATTGTGGGATGGAATTTGGCGGCCCCAAGAGTCGGGATATGGCATCTCGATTAGCTGTCCGGCTCGTTCTTGCGAAGCTCGACGGCTGTGTCTAGATCTCGAGAGCTTGATTGAGTTCCTACTCGCGAGTGGCATCGGAAAAAGAATTCTTATCGGCTCAATTAGACGCTTTCGATATGCATTTGAAGCCCAACGGTCTATTCACGACAAGTTCCCCGAAATGAATGAATGGCAGGGCAAAGCTGGCAACGACTTTCACAAACAACTCGCCTTAGCAGGACAGATGTGGCCATGTGATGGGACGTGGCCGCGTGGCACCATGATGCACGTAGCCCGGTTTTCGTTTCGTGGTGGGGAGCCGA